CAACCTGGTATCAGGCTCCTAAGTCAGACCCCAGGCTCCAAACTAGGCCCCAACCTGGTATCAGGCTCCTAAGCCAGACCCCAGGCTCAAACTAGGCCCAACCTGGTATCAGGCTCCTAAGTCAGACCCCAGGCTCGAAACTAGGCCCCAACCTGGTATCAGGCTCCCAAGCCAGAGCTTAGGCCCCAACCTGGTATCAGGCTCCCAAGCCAGAGCTCAGGCCCCAAACTAAGCCCCAATTTAGTATCGGGCTCCCAAACCAGAGCTCAGACACCAAACTAAGCATCAAATTAGTATCGGGCTCCCAAACCAGAGCTCAGACACCAAACTAGGCCCCAACCCAGTACTCAGACTCTAAACTAGGCCCCACAACTGGATCCTGGTGGCCAAAACCAGTACCCAGGCCCCCAACCCAGACCCCAGGCCTCAACACAGCGGCCAGGCCCCAATGCAGAACCTAGATCCTAGGTTACGCTCCAAGCTTGAATACAGGCCACAACTTAGAACGTGGGCATCAAGAGCCAGCTAGGAGCAGGGCCCCAAACGGGGCCTCAAGCCAGGCCGCAGGCCCCTCTGCTGGGCCAAATCCCATATTGTTACCCTGGGAGGAAGAGCCAAGAAGGGTCGAGAGACAGAGGGTTTGGTGGGTCCATGGGGAGACCTCCCACCCTTCCGGAAGGTGAAGCTGCGAGGAGGGGACGGGCACTCACCATTTTCATGGGGTGAGTGAGGATGACGCCGTAGAGCTGGATGAGGTGGGGGTGGTCGATGGCGTACATCGCGTTCACCTCTTGCAGGAAGTCGGCCATGGCGTCCGCCTCGCTCGAGATGTCTGATCTCAGACACTTCACGGCCACGTTCATCTGAAACACAAGGCATTGACCATAAACCCGCCCTTTTTCCTTGGCATCGCGCCCCGCGGTCAACCAGGCCCCAGTGTCCACCCCCAAACCCCTTCCCACCGGATTAGACCTGTCCCAGTCACAGCAGAAGTAGGCCATTCAGCCCATTGATACTGAGGCCTGCTCCCTTTTGCCACGCTGTGCGCCACTTTGGGGGCAGGGTGGAATGGAACTCACCCTCTCAAGGTTCACCCATGTACAACCAGGGGGCAGCGGGAGAAGGGGCAATGGAGTTACAGGAGCCGGGGATGCCCTGCTGCATTGGTACAGGAACTTATTGAGACCGCACGTGGAGTATGGTGTACAGTTTCGGTCTCCATGTCTGAGGAAGGCGATGGAGGGAGGGCAGCGAAGGTCCACCAGACTGAATCCTGGGAATGATGGCACTGATGCACAGAGAGAGACCGGGTCGGTTCGGACTATATTCACTGGAGCTTAGACGAACGAAGTTGGGGGGGTATCTCATAGAATCTACAAAATTCCAACAGGGCTGGGCGCGGGGTAAACACAGGAAATTGTTCCTGATGACCGCGGAGTACAGAACCGGAGGTGCGTTGGGGGGGTTAAAGCAGACATGGTGGGACCGGGATGAGGAGAAATGTCCCTACCCTGGGAATGGGGGAGCCTGAGGAATTCTCTCCCACAGAAGACAACTGAGGCCAAAATGTTGAATGTTTTCGAGAAGGAGTTGGATATAATTCCCAGAGCTAACGGGACCAAACGGGGTATGGGGGAGCAAGCAGGAACGGGGGACTGAGTTGGGTGAGCATCTGCGATCCTATTGAGCAGCGGAGCATGCTCGGGGAGAGGGGCCGAATGGCCTACTGCTGCTCCTAACTTGTACGGTCCCATGACGTCAATTGAGGAGGATGACGCTGGGAGAGCTGCCCCCCCCCACCACGTGAGAGGGGCTGTGGGATCTTTGGCAAACGCCAATTTGAGGCCTAATTGGAGGGGGTGGGCCCACTGACCCCCTCAGGATGGGAGCTGGAGGAGGGTGGGGGGGGCGGGGTTGATGAGTTTGCCCCCTGAGACGCCG